TTTTATTCATGCCATAGAGTCAGTAAATTCTTGCCTAATTATGTTTTAACAGCATCTCTGTAGTCCAGTCATACTTTGTTTACTGGGCAAAGATTGAATCTGCTGTTGTGGCTCACCGAGGGCAAAACAAAATGCCTGCTGGCAGCAGTGAGAGGCCTGACCCTGTAACTGCTGTAACTCCTTTGCAGGGACCAGCTGACCCCACAGGTATGGCGAGCAAAGGTACGTGTTTCTTATCGACCACTTCCCGCAGAGTAGTTTTACAGCTTATTCCAGGCAAGCACTGAACACAAGTGACCCAAACAAGCTGGAGGGACCTGTTTAAATCCTGTGGCCATCAGGGAGATCAGCCAAACCCCGTGAAGTGAGGGCATGGGTCAGCGTCTGAGCTGATGGAGTCAGCTCCAGGGAGGGTACCAGAAAGATAAACAGGATTACCAGATATTATGATCTCAATGCAAACCCTAAAATGCAACATACTTTACCTATAATCTCAGCTCCTGAAGACAAACAAGTGCAATTCACAATACTGTCTAGATAAAGGAATAAGTTCATCTCTAAATCTAACTGTTTTCCTTCAGGTATATATTTAGCTGTGTTTATGCAACCTTTGGTCAGCAAAATGCCCCAAGAATTTACTTATACCCAAATCAGATGTGTTTCTCAGCATTTCTGGCATGGCCCCAAGACTGAGTTCTAATTATTTTACTTGGCCATAATTTAGGCAGCAGGCTTTGCTCCTTTGCTTTCCATCTGGGTTCCCACTTAAAATTAAGTGACATGAAAACAAAAACCAAAAAATGTCACTGCTACAATCCTTCCTGGCAAATGCTAGCACCGAGTGGGATTTGAAATAAACAAACCATGGACAATAGACTTCTGCTCCTCTCACTCTGCTTCTTGTTTGGTCTCCATGCTGGACAAGGTCCCACCTCTCCTGCAGCTGCCACTGGCTTCCCCCTGCACACCACAGTGCCTCCTGCCAGCCCCACCGGCACCACAGCAGTGCTGACACCAGAGCCAGATTTTGGTGCCCATCCCATTGCTGAGCCAAAGCAGCTGGCCCGGCCCTCACGGGCTGTGTCTGGTGGGAACGGTGGGGCCAGCAGCCAGTGGTTGGAGCTGTCCCTCCCCACTCAAGACCCCAGCACCACGGCTGCCATACAAGAGCTCCTGCCCCAGGACAATGTCTCCAGCTACAGCACCCCCAACGGGTAAGCTAAGTGGTGGGAAGAGGTGTTTCTCCAGCCCTCGGAGAAGGAAAATAGTACTAGTTTCCCTGTGAATGAGTGAGGGTCCATGTAGGAAGGTGTCTCTGGCGTGGAGGGAGGAATGAGAGTATTTGCTTGTTGAAATTTTGAGGAGTAATGCTTTGGACAGTGACAGGGAGAAAATCTAAAACTCTTAAAAACCAATGCTGTGCTGCTCAGTCCAGCAGAGAACTGGCTGGGTGGCTGAAAACCATGATAAAAGCTATTGACTGCTACAGTATTTTTCTAAAAGCACATAAAATATTCAATGAAATGGTGAACTCAGCAGACTTATTTCTCCATGTGCAGCAAAAAGGAAGAAAAGATTCAAAGCAATTAGGAAATTTGGGCTTGAGGATGTCTGCTCCGAAGTCTTACAGGGTTTGGGCTGCATAAGCTTTCATGCAACACTTCATACTGTGGGTGAAAACAATGCAGATAGGAATAAAAGATCAGGCATTACTAAGAATACAGCCCCATATGGTCTATGTTGATGGTGAGCATCCCGAGGCAACTTTAGGGAGCAGCACACTTCTCTGGTGGTGCAGGGGTTCCCGCGTGACATGTCTTATCTACTAACCCTGCCTTTCCTCTGTCCATTTCTTAGGGCAGGGAGCACTGCCAGTGCTGCCACCCCACGCTTGTGTTTGATGTGTAAAGAAGATGGGCAGGTAAGCACCCAGGTTGGGCAGGATGTCTTCTCCAAAGACAGAAGGGTCTAAGAGAAGAGGAGGCTGTCTTCTCTACTGCATCGCAGCACCAAGCAGCCTGTATAGCTCTCATAAGTGACTAAAATTAGACAGAGACTGTTAAGAGGTCTACTTTTTTGTTTTACTTGAACTGGGAATTGGCTTTTATAGCTCTTTTGTTTTCATTTTGAGCCTGCTGCCCTGGTTTTTAAAAGTCCCGCTGTAAAAACTATCAAAAATAACTTTTCCATATGTAGACATGACTGCAGGCTGCTGGTTGCTACTGGGCTGGAATATCAGTTTTATTCTTGTGGAAGACTGAGATCTTAAAATCAGCTAGGTTGGAAAAGACCTTTAAGATCATCAAGTCCAACCATTACCCCAGGACTGCCAAGACCACCACTAAACCATATCACTGTGGGCCTCATCTACATGGTTTTTAAACACTTCCAGGGGAGGTGATTCCACCACTTCCCTGGGAAGCCTGTTCCAACGCCTGATTACCCTCCCTGTGGAGAAATTTCTCCTAATATCCAATCTAAATGTCCCCAGTGCACCTTGAGGCTGTTTCCTCTTGTCCTATCGTTTGTTACTTGGGAGAAGAGAGCAGCCCCCACCTCACTACAACCTCCTTTCAGGTAGTTGTAGATGATGTTCATCTCCAGAGGTGCTGGATAGGTACCACCCATGATGTTCACCAGAGATCAAAGGCTTCATCTTTCCTGGGGACAGCCAAGGAAGCTGTATGCTTTCTGAGGACAGGGTCAGCTCATGAGGTTGGATGAACTAGAAAGGCAGAGGTGGTGGTGGTGGTGGGGTTAGCCACAGGAGTGAGGTGCACTCATCAGGGACAGCTGGAAGTCCAATGTGCAGGGGATGGAGAGAATCAAAAACCAAGGAAAATAAAGAACTAGATCTGGGTTGCAGGATGCCACAGGAGGAAGAGTAGTAATCTCACAGAAAATAAAAGAGGAAGGGGGCATGCAGCAGAGAATGAAGCAAGGACTTGTGAGGCAATTCAATTTTCTATCCCAAAGTCTCAAATCCTGCAGTATATCTTTACAGTATGTAATTTGCATTTTGAGGGGAAGTGATCCATACATATGCAATTCCAACTTTGCCAGCCAGCTACTAGTTTGCAGTTCAGCCACAGAATGCCTTTTATTTGCCCCTGTATTTTACTAGCACCTTCAGAAAGTATCTCTTCAACAAAGGATGCTCTGCCCCTCCCCTTCTTCACTTCTCAGCTTGCCAGGGCTCCTACCTCAGGTTTGTGCTCCTGTTACACTCTTCCCAGCAAGCTTTAGAAATCACTAGTGATGGTAGAGGGCGAGAGTTTCTCTGGTGTAATTAATGGATGTGTGAAAAAGCCTGCTGGGCTGGACAGGCTGGAGAGGTGCCAGCTGCTGAGGGCCAGATCCAAATCTCAGTGGAGACAAAGAAAAAACTCCAGCACATTTTGCAGGTTTTGGATGGGGGCTCAGGTGCACAGTGGGAATAGAAAAATTCATTGGGGGTCTCCTAAATCGTATGATTGTTTCACAGTTAACCCTGGATGATATCTGCAAAGCCTGGGCTGCACAACTGGTGTGAAGCAGCTGTTTATCTGTGACAGATAAAACAAGGTGCATGGCACCACACAGAGCCCCTAGGAACAGGAACATGCAAGAATGGTTATTCCCACTAAAATAGGTGGTTAAGCAAAACTGAGAGGCAGCAGGTTTTGAACTGGCTGTGTAGACTGAGAAAGCAAGATGGGCTTTGGGGAGAGTTCAGTGGTTGTGTGTGACTGCCCCAAAACCACTGATGTCAAAGGCCATCCCAAGTCTCCTGGGTCCCTCTGCTCCATAGTTCAATCCACAGCCTCAGCAGGGTCCTACTGAACCCTTGTGGGCCTAGTGTGACCCTAAACATGAGGCTTGGCCAGGAAGATCTCGCCTGTCCTTTTGGCATGACCCTCATGGGTCATCACTTAAGGTGGGAATTGTTTATTGATTTTTTGGGGGTGATAATGATGCCTGACAAAAATGCCACCACCACGGTAGTTGCAGACGTTTACTTAGGCAAAGCCATGACCTTCCTCTCCACCTGTGTACTTCACCTCTGCTCCTTCAGTCCAGTCTGCCTTGGCTCCCTGGGACCAATTCCCAGTGCCTTATCCCTTTCTTGGCTATTCTGATATGGATGGAGAAGGGTTGAATCTGCCTCATTTTCTAAAAGCTACTGAGCAACCAGGGGATGGAGCAGGGTTATTTCAAGGTGAGGGGATACCTGGGTGTGAGAACTATAGAGCTGAACTGTACCATGATGTAGCTAGTAAGACCCTGATCATCCCCTTTCTCTCACTGCACATCTCATCACGTTTTTGCTTTCAAAGGCCAGTACCAAGAGTGGGAACATCTTGGAAGCCTCCCACATTGTGACAGCATCTCCTTCTGCCCCACACCTACACAGTCACCTGGGTGATGCTGCTGTGACAACAGCCTGGTTTGACAATGCTAATACTGCCAGCAATTTGTCATCAGCTTCAAGGCAAATGGCAGAAAGAAAACTGGCACCACAGCCAGAGAAGGCAGGTGCCAGGGGCGAGGAGGAGGAAGTGGGAGGGAATACCCTGCCATGGGTGACCAGACCAGCTCCCGATTTCGCGGTTCCTGGGAACGGGGAAGACCCTGGCAGAGGGACGAGGCTCCTTGCAGCCCAGCTCGGCATCCTCCTGGTCTGCACTGCCGCCCTGGGCCTGGCACTGGCAGCTGCCGTGCGCTGTGTCTGTGCCCAGCACTGCCACAAGCGGACGGAGGTCTCCTTCAGTGAGCAAGACCCCGATGTCATCACGGTCAGCGAAAACGGGGAGGTGATGCATTTCCGAAAGATCCGGGAGAACAGCTTCGTGCTGGTGCAAACTGAGTATAACTGGGTCAGCCCCTCGAGCAGCGGGAAGAAGACAATCATCTGAACGTCTGCAACTCCAAAAGCTGCTCCTCAGAGGCCGGTGTAGGTGAAAATAGCCTGGCCTGTACAGCACAGGTTATAGGAAGCAGTGGTGTATTTCCTTTATGTGCTGCCATAGAGGTAGACAAACTCGAAGTGGCCAGCTCAGACAGACGTGTTAGTCGAAAGTATCTAAGCTACAGCTGCTAAGAAAAAAGAAGCTGATAGATAGTTCAGTGTTACACTTACTGCAATTAATACTGTATATCTGCTCATTAGCTGTCACTGCAGCCATGACATACACTTCCTCTGTTGCCTTAAGGGTGTAGCCAAAAATAGAAATTCTTTCTCCACGTTGTAGTACTGTCTCCTGTTTAATCTCAGCAAAAGTTTCTGGTGTTATGTTTCTTTCTAGGAACTAGAAACCCCTGATATAAACCCAACCATTCTCACTGACGAGCTTACGAGTTTGATTCTGTGCACTTGGTATCTCTCAGATGACAAAATATTTGCCAGCAGATTTTAAGTTTCAATTTGAAAATAAAAAGCAGTAACTCATTAGTGGAGAGCATTGATTCAAAAAACACTGAATTGATCTGTGGAAGTGAAGCACAGAGTGGCGAACACCAGCTTTTGGGGGAGAAACATGCTTCCTCATCAGGTGCAAATGGAAGAAAACCTTTCCTGTCCATTTGCACCTGATGAGGAAGCTTGTTGAAGCCTGACAGCTGGCATTTACTTAGTCTTTTTCTTCGAGTCAGCTCAGTAACACTCTGTGCAGAAACATGCACTGAGAAGTACCCTTGCCAGGTCACTTTGGAGAAACCCAGCAAAGGCTGCACGGAAAGTTAACATCATCCTTGTGCTCTGAGTTTGTGCAAACTTCTCTCCAACCATGTGTTTATCTTCAGGATGCCACTAAACAGGCCTTGGAAAACATTAAGATACTTGACACTTTTTAAGGAGAGGTAACAACAGCAAAAGTTTATTTGACTGCAGCTTTGAAAGAGACAGAAATGGTCCTGATAGTGATCCTCTTGAGATGTATATTTTAGAGCCCTGCAGAGTGCAGGAATCACTCCTTCTGGAGTTCTTTTCAGGGCCAGGGAGGGGAGCACAGATGTTCCCCAAGCTATGTAATGACTTAAACTTTGGTGCTGCAGCTTATTTTGCAGCCTGAAGCAATCCCCCGTGAGCTAAGCAGATAATGATGTGACCCTGATGGCTCACACATGCTTCCTCATGACAACTTCCCTCTCTGTCAGGAGGGCCCTGTGGCCATGTAAAACTGAATGTCTATCTTCATACTGGATAGTCAGTCAAAGCTCTGCTCTCACACCTCCCTTACCTTGCCATTGACTCCAGAGGAGACAGGAGGGACATAGATGAGTTGTTCTATTGAAACCCCTTCAGTGGGATGAATGTAGTGCATCTTTTGCTAATAGCACTGTCCATTAGCATTCAGAAAAGAGCTAGTTTCTGACCATGCTACTGTACTGTGATTAGTGACATGATGCTTTGCATTACACACACGGCCAAATTTCTATCAAGTTAACTTCTTGGGCAAAATAAATAACAAACAAAGTGTACTCACAAATGCAGCTTGCAGAGATGAGCTTGATGGTCTTAACCATTGTACTTTGAAGAGAAGGGCTGCCACATCATGGCCCTTCCATTGCAGAGTAACCAAGGATAGTGCTGTAACTGGAAAGACATTAGTTTTAGGACTGAAAAGGATGCTAGGTGAAAGGTTTTATGTTCACTAAGATGAGCTTAAGCATTGCCTAGTAGGAAGTCCACAGGTTTTTAAGTACAAGTCTAGACACTTCCAATGGCATGCCTCTCTTGTGCAATATGCCTTAGAAAGAAATCATGTTCCTGTAACCCAGTTGTCCTGGGTTCAGCAGTAGCAGTCATTTTTCCCCTTCTTGGTAGCTGGTGCAGTGCAATGTTTTGACTTTCAGCTCGGGAACGGAGCTGATAACAAGCGATGTTTTGGTTTGGCCAAGGACTTTGTGAGCCTCATGCTCTGCCAGGGAGGAGGGGAAGCTGGGAGGAAGCAGAGACAGGACACCTGACCCAAACTGACCAAAGAGGTATTCCATACCACAGCACGTCATGCCCAGGATGTAACTGGGAGTTAGCCGGAAGGGCTGGGAGACGGCAGGGTTGGAGGAGGTATCGGTGAGAGCTTGGTCGGGCTGGGGGGGCGAGTTATCGGTTGGCTGGTGGTGAGATGATGTATTCTCTTCCCTTGTTATTTCCTTTATCATTATTATCGTTGGTGGTAGCAGTAGTGATGTGTGTTATACCTTAGTTACTAAACTGTTCTTATCTCAACCTGTGGGAGTTGCATTCTTTTCGATTCTCCTCTCCGTCCCTCCGGGAGCAGGGGGAGGGCAAGAAGGAGGGGAAGTGGGTGAACGAGTTGCCTGACTGGGTTTAAACCACGACAGTTCTTTTTGGCGCCCAACGTGGGGCACTAAGGGTTGAGATAACGACAGATTTGACTAGATTAATAGTCACTCGTCACAATGGTGATTTATTGGCTCTCAGAGTTGTTTCGCTTGATCTCACAGCTTCAGAATGTTGTAACTTACGTAGAGCCGGTATTTGCTGTGTTAGTGTTTATCAAGTATGGGGCCTGGGCTAAGGTTCTTGTCTCACTGTGCTTTATGGCAATGGCTTGTAATACGGGCGGGCTCCAGCAGCATGGCGGGACGGACGTGGCCGTGGACTTGTACCTGGCCGTCCGGCTGCTCTTCACCGCCCTGGCCCTCGCCCTACTCTCCATCTTCGTGAGGCTGCGGGGAGCCGAGGGGGAGCGGCCCCGGGAGCCGGCGGCTGCTGAAGCGGCCCGGGAGAGCGGCCCCGGGGACCAAGCGGCGGCGGGAGCGGGGCCGGAGGCCGCGAGGGGACGGCTGCCGGTGGAGGAGGTCGGGGCGGTCGAGGAGCAGAAAGAAGGGGCTGCCGAGCAGCGGGAGAAGGCGGCGGAGGAGCCGAGCCCCGCGGAGGAGCCGAGCCCCGCGGCCGAGCCCAGCCCCGCGGCCGAGCCCAGCCCCGCGACGGCCGAGAGCATTTCCCGGCAGCCGCCCGCCGAGCCCCAGGAGGATGCAGGAAACCACGCAGCATTTCCCAGCAAGGCAGAGGAGGAAGAGCTGGACTCAGGAAAAGAGAAGCTGGCGGTGGGGGAGCCGGCAAGCACAGCAGCTACACCAGCCCCAGTGACAAGTACAGCAGCATCAACTGAGAGTTCTGAAGGTTTTGAATGGCCTTTGGGTGTCCTTGGGACCTGCCTGCTGATTGTGATGGGGATCAGCATGTTGGCACACACACAGGCTGTGTTCTACCCACCACCATTTTGTCTGATCTCAAAAGTTAAGCAGAGTCAGGTTTGGGTCGTGTCTGGGGTTAGACAACAATATAGGGGGACCAAGAGATTTTCTCCAAGGCTGGACAGTCATGAGTGGCAGGGTGTGTGGGACAGTATGGGCAACTATGTAGTCCACTGGGCCCCTCCAGTGCTTTGGAAGCGTCGGAGATGGAAGGCAGCTGTATGGAGTCCCCAGCAACAAGCTGCAGAAACTGCTTAAGGGGACAGTGAATTATTTTAAGCCTGGTGGGCCCATGGCACTTCAGGCCATCAGAGCAGAGATGCAACACAGACATGGACTCATGATCGAGGGGTGGACTTAGCAATGGACACTATTGCCCAGGTTATTCACGAGTGTGAACACTGCACACAGTCTCTCCTGCTCTGGAAGACTGTTACAAGAGATGGAGCCTGACATCATGGACCAGATGGACTCAGCAGCTTTATAGGGACTGGTCCATGCACTAAGATAAGAGTGCACTGAGATAAGAGTGATGGTATATTGAAAATGTGGGATCTGAGCATGACGTGAATGGTATGGAATAAGGGGTGGATAATGTCCTGGGTTCAGCAGTAGCAGTCATTTTTCCCCTTCTTGGTAGCTGGTGCAGTGCAATGTTTTGACTTTCAGCTCGGGAACGGAGCTGATAACAAGCGATGTTTTGGTTTGGCCAAGGACTTTGTGAGCCTCATGCTCTGCCAGGGAGGAGGGGAAGCTGGGAGGAAGCAGAGACAGGACACCTGACCCAAACTGACCAAAGAGGTATTCCATACCACAGCACGTCATGCCCAGGATGTAACTGGGAGTTAGCCGGAAGGGCTGGGAGACGGCAGGGTTGGAGGAGGTATCGGTGAGAGCTTGGTCGGGCTGGGGGGGCGAGTTATCGGTTGGCTGGTGGTGAGATGATGTATTCTCTTCCCTTGTTATTTCCTTTATCATTATTATCGTTGGTGGTAGCAGTAGTGATGTGTGTTATACCTTAGTTACTAAACTGTTCTTATCTCAACCTGTGGGAGTTGCATTCTTTTCGATTCTCCTCTCCGTCCCTCCGGGAGCAGGGGGAGGGCAAGAAGGAGGGGAAGTGGGTGAACGAGTTGCCTGACTGGGTTTAAACCACGACACCAGTGTAACCAAACTGCATAGCGACTAAAGCAGACTGCATTCAAGTCATTGTTAATGCAGCCAAAAAAAATCCTAATTAACTGAGAAAATAGGTCAACAAACTCTTAAATATTTAAAGAACTATCACATATTATTTGAAAAAGTTTCCTGTGATGGCATAGCTGTTTATGAATAAATTACAAATACCTATGGCCTCTTCCACTGTCTTTCTAGGCTTAATGTTACCAGACTGCTATAGCTACAAAACCATGACCTTCCTTTACCCAGCCCCTTTCCCATGACCCAGCACCACTTCCTGCCAGGCTGACCTGAGCAGCCTGGAGAGGTTTGATTAAGGTAGCCACACTTCAACAACACTCTGCCTTCTGCCAAACTCTTCCTTCTGTTAAATTTATGCAGCTCCAATATTATTAGCAGTAAAACCAGTAATGGTGAGCTGTGAGGGACACAGCTCCTTTGAATTAGTAATGAGTTTTGCTACTTTGCAGACTTGGCTGAGACCTAAAGTGCTTGTGTTTTTTTTCTTGACTTCTGAATGATGTTTTGTTTATTGTAGTTGCCATGACAAGAGGGATGGGGGTTTTATCTTTTCTTAAGGCTATTAAAAACATGAGCACTGATTAAGTTATTAAAAGGCAAACCATTCAAACACCCCCATTCTTCATTGACATGTCTTGTATGGAAATTAATCTGCGCTCACATTTGGAACAGATTTAGGAGGGGGAAAAAAAGAAAAAGACAGGATTAGGAAAAGAAAGGCACAGACCATTCTAATATTCAGTGGAGGGACAAGTGAAAGACTTGCCTCTTTTCCCTCTCTGGGTGCATCACTGTGTTGGTCACAATCATTCTGCTGGAACCTGGGGATAACAGTTCCTCCAGGACAGGCCAGCCTACAGCTGACTGTGACCCACTTTGGGCTGCAATCCCTCAGCAAAGTGACAGGGCTTTGGCTCACAATTACCAACCAAAGGTGTGGAGAGCAGCCCACATTCAGCACTAATGAACACCTATCCTCATGTCTCCCCACCAACCAGGCAGGCATCAAACACAGTTTTGGCAGTGAAAACTGCTATGGCTTAAATCCTCTGCTAACATTACAGTGCTTGAGCTATCCTAACTAAAAGCCAACCTACTAAAAACCAACTAGAAATAACCAACTTGCATACAGACATGCCCGTTCATCACACCCTTCCTTGCATGCTCATTTTACTATCTCTTTTCACTGTGATTCCTGCTTTTCCTCTGCTCCACAAAAATATAAATCACTGCCCCAAACTATCAGTCCTGCATGTTGAACATATAATACCATCACTGATTCTTACTGCTTTTCCATGATACCTGAAATCAGTTTGGTTTTGCCCATCATCAAGTCCTTCCATAATCTTTTCCCCCTCTGCTCCAGAGAAGATGTCTTATGCAATGCTGCATCTGCTTTATTAAAGCTGCCTGCCCCAACTGCAGTTATCAGAGAATGGCAGCTCTCCAATACATTAGTGGCACTAAATGTAAAGTGGAGAGGTTGCATTACACAATGCAGTTGCCCCAAAGCTTGGTTAAGTCATCACGTATGTTTCCTGCATTGGTTGAATTGTCACTAGTGAGCAAAAAAGCTAAACGTGGACTGATTCGGTCCCCTCCATAATGGGTGGCAAGACTCAAATGAGAGGCCGCAGGGCCCTGAAGGCCTGGCTATCACAGTCAGCAGGGATGTGCAAGCCCAGGCTCTTGGTAGAGGCAGCACTCTTCCCAGAGCAGTATGGGATGAGGCCCCAGGTGCTATGGATGCTTGGCTGGGTGGCTTAGCCAGCCCTTTCAGCACAGTTCCTGCAACTGCTTAAGACCATACAAACCAAGGAGGGCAAAGCAGCAAGGCCAGTAACCCAGAGAGTAAAATATTCAGCACATCCCCCAGCAAACTGGGCATGGGGAGATGATGGGGGGGGTCTGTCTCACTGAGCGGTGAGGACTCATCCTCACCCCTGAGGGTTTGCCTCTGCTTTAGCCAGCTCCATGGTGCAGATCTACTTATATTTAAATAATAAGAAATGCCTGTTAAAGAATGAGGAGATGCTGCAATGATTCCTGCAACATTCAGCTGCTGAAAGACAGCTGCTTACCAGCAAAACCCAATTAAGTAGTGACCCAACCTGCCCAGCTGGGGAGCAGCAGAACAGCTTCTCACCTCCTCCTCCTCGCAAGCCGGACCCGCTCTGCTACCCCTGCCACAGCCTCAGGGCTCACTCCAAAAGTCCTTGTGTCTGGACAGCTCAGCAGGGCTCCTTACCTTTCTTTCCCCTCTGTTTTCTCCTGCCAGCCTCTCCAAGGTGCGCCATCACCTGTGGGATGGCAGGGAAGGACCTGGGGTCTCATGACTGCCCTTAGACTATGAGCTGCTCAGGAATCTTTCCCGCTTCCCTCCTGCCACTAGAATGTTTCACCTTTACAGGTCTGGTTGTGGCAGATTTCTTTCCTCATTAGTGTACGTGTGACTCTCTCAATAAAGCATTTTGTTACATGATGTATGAAGGCCCATGTCCCAACCCCCATTTTACTGTACATTCAAGTGCATGTTTTGCTGATTTACAGCTGTTCTAGAGAACATCTCCCTTCCTGAGCAGGGCAGGCCCATAAAGGATATATCAGCTCTGACTAATGGTTATTAGTACATCCCAAGGTTATGTACCACAATTAAATAACATGGAAGAGAGAAGTGAGACTCCGGCTTACTCAGCTGAGGACAAAGATCACAGATAGTCTCTTTCAATCTTCAGATTGCAATATCCATTACAGATTGCCACCTTCTAATGTCAAAGTATAATTTGTTGTAGAGAAACTGTGCCGCTGTTTCAAAGGCGAGTCAAAGAGCAGCCTTGCTGTATATCAGCGTGTGTTGATGTACGTTAGGACGCCACGGCCAGGTACCGAGGATGCGCGGCTGTTGGTGCAGAGGGAAAGGAGACGTGACTTGCTGATCTTCATTATGCAAACGCAGGGCCCGAAGTGGAAAAACGTTTAACCCAGTCAAATGAAGTGTCACCAGCGATTCCCGGTGCCTAATGTACCACAGACGCTGCCTGTCGGAGGAGTTAACCGCGACCTCCCCGGTCTGCCGGGAGGGCTGAGGGGAGAAAGCCGTTCCAAAAGGAAAGCGCAGCCCCTGCCTTGCGCTCCCGGCCCGGGGCAGGCGGGCAGCACCTCCCGGGGCCGATCCACGCCGAGGTCAAGCGGCTGTGGCCTCCTCTCACACACTTCAGTTTCAGTTCTGGTAGTGAGAAGCAAGCCGGCTCGGACCTACAGGATTCCCCCTGCTCCCCGAAGCCCGCAAGGCCCCGCGCCGCCGCCAGGGGGCAGCCTTGCCCCGAAGATGGCGGCGGTGACCGAGACCGCCTGCTGCCTCACTGCCCCTGGGACAGGCTCGGGGCGGGTAGCCCGAGGCCGCTACAGCGCAGCACTGGGATCGGGCCCAGCCAGCCCCGCGGCGGGGACAGGGCCGCCGGTTCGCCGCCTTCTTCTCAGGGGAGATGCAGCGGCGGGCAGGAGGCTGCCAGGGGCGCAGCGGGGCAGGTGCGAGCCGGCGCTGCTTCAGCCTGCAGTGTACTGGGGAGCCCCGGGCCTTGGCTTGCCCAAGGAACCCGGCGGCCGGGCCTTGGGCACGGACAGAGACAGGGACGGGTGCATACACACTGCCAGAGGCGACGTGCAGCAGTTCAACTCTGCTGGCGACCTCTGGCTCCTCAGGAGACACGGGGCAGCTCACAGGAACACAGGGCAGGGAAATGGCTGAGCAGTTTATATAAAGTATACAGCGCAGTTACCTCCAGGCTCCTGCTGCGGGTGAGATGCAAAATCCCCACCACAGCAAGGGGTGCAGGCACGACAACGCTCATCCAAGGGACAAATCAATTCCTAGAAGCTAAAACCACACATGCACCAGCTTCCTGTCACTTTCTGAACTGCAAACAACAACAAGGTCTGAGGCAACCATCAGTCTGAATTTTTCACTTCAAGTCAAAGGGCTGATTAGGGCTGATTTGACTTTAGATTTTCAAAGGACAGCTATCGTGATTTTTAAGCAGTCATCTGCAAAAGAGATGAATGGCACACTTGGTGATCTGCATGATTTATTTGACAAAGCCTATTAGTTCTTTCTGGAGCAAATTAATAGTGATTCTCATCTGTTTGTCACTGGGAATTTAACATAGGCTAAAAAGTCATGGAGAGTTTTCTTCAGATGGAAGTCCATTCAAAACAGAACAAAAAGAGATGAATTTGAGAACAAAAGCTTTAATAAAGTCCTCTTTAAATGAAAACCACTCATGGCTTGACTGTTAATCAAACGAACATTACTTACCTTAGCACCACTGAAACCAGAATCTGGCAGCAAGTTTTTTTTTCTCTTTCTTTACAGTCATAATTTATAACAGCTGAATTATTTGCTATAAATACTCTTTTCCTTCTGCTAATGTATTGTGCTGCAAACATTTTGTTGCTAAGACAATAAACTCCTAAACGGGGGCTTCTGAAAAAGTGCATTCTAATGCATTCCAAGCAGCAGCTATTCAACAGATAACACTATGCCATCTTGACAGACTAGATTTTATTTTCAGTAGTATTGAAAAATACTGAAATTTCTCACTAAATTTATTTCTTAAATATAGAAAGCTGCTGCTTGCAATACAGTGGAGCATATTTATGTATACACCAAAGCTAAAAAATTAAACCGGGATGAATTAGCAGAATGAGATTGCTTTAGAAAGTAGTGAGCTAGATAAGTAAAATACGTTCCTAAATACATACAAAATATCATGGAACATAGAAGATAATGGTTTAATATGCATCCTGTTACACATGGAGAGCAGTTTTTCTACACGTAGTATGCACCTTACTTACTTAAAAAACAAAAACCCCAAAACAAACTACCGAAAACTCTTCAAAAAAACTGGTACCAGCAAAATTTGACTTTTCTTGTTTTTTTTAAACAATGTCCCGACAGATACTTTCAATGAGATAAATGTGACAGTACAGCTCTTTATGCCCTTTATAATCAGAGAGGTTACACAACTGTAACACATCACGAATACATGTTACCTGATCAGAAACGTAATAAAAGTCAGGCTCCACAGAGTCAGGTTCCCCTGCCTCATGCAAAATCTCAGGTATCGCAACTCGACAATGTCTTTATACTTGGAGGGGTCAGAAAGAGGGGAGTTTGGGAGCACAGTGTGGCAAGAACTCCAGTGCCCCTGGGAAGTGCTACTCCCA